AGGGGGAGGCAGTGAGAAAGAAATATGAATCACATGTTTAGAACTTAAGAGAAGTTAAGAGTCATGATATGGCAGATACATTCTTTTTTTGTCATTGGCACAGGCGTAGTTGTGATGGTGTAACTTGTTATTCGTGATTATGACTGATTGGATTTTCACGCGCTAAGATTCTTGGAGCTTATTTTTCAAAATTTTATTCTTTGTTGCTTTTTCTTTTGCATCTCTGCAGGCATTTGCCTCAGAGAAAATGGAGGCAGAGGATCAGGCCGGGCGACCAACTTCACGGGAATCGAGTGGTGAAGGGGCAATGGAAGCCAACGGGGCTACAACCAGTGAGGGAGGCGGTGGAGCTGCTGCAGGTGGAGGCGTGGGCGCCACAGCCACCACAACTGGTGGAGAAAGTGGGAAAGACAGTGGTACTGCGGACTCCTGCCCAACGAGTAAGGTCAGTTGAACCCTCCTTTTCAGCACACCCGTCACCGGCAGCCTGAGACCCAGAACTGCATCTCTGAGGTCTGTTGTAATCCAAGCCTGCTCTCTGCTTCCACATCTGCAGAGCTAGTATTATCTTGTTCCAGAACCCCATTAGCCATTCCTGATGCCATTCCTGATGCCATTCCTGATGCAGCAGCTAATTACCAGCCATTTGCGGTCTTTCGGCTCTGGGACCGTTATAATGTCTCGTCGACTATGTCGACGAGGAGGAGGTAGTCGTCTGTTGACCTCCCTCTGTTGTCAATTCCAGATCAGCTCCGAACATTCAAGGTCCTGTGCTAGCTGTTCCAGGGTTCCCAGCTGGTCCAGTGTGCTTTGAGTAACGTTGTGTGTCCCGTGGGTGACTGGCCGGTGTGTCGTCATTGTGGCCGATACCCTTGAAACTTTCTATATCTGGCACAAACTTTACGCATGTTGCGCCGATACCCTTGAGGGTAATGTTTGAGTTTTTTTAACTTTTTTTTTTTTTTTTTTTTTTTTTGAAAAGAATTGGAACATTTCTCGACTTATGCGTGTCTTCTCTGTATCATTCTCTGTATCGTTTTCTGTATCGTTCTCTGTATCGTTCTCTGTATCGTTCTCTGTATCGTTCTCTGTATCGTTCTCTGTATCGTTTGCGGCAATGTTCCAATTTTAGTGGATGTCCTGAAGGAGAATATGTTGTGGCTTTCTATATCTGGTTATGCTTTGGTTTCTGGGCCTGGTATAAAGTGCGTGACAGCCTTCCTCATCCTGTGGCCAAACTTTTGAGTGTGTGACCTGTTCCAGGTTTTCCATGTGGTCCAGTGTGCATTGATGAGTGGTGTATGTTTTGCGGCTGCCAAACCTTTACGCATGTTGTGCCTTTTTATATCTGCCTACTTTGTGCCTTTCTATAATTGGCAACCCCGTGCTCCCTGGGCCTGGTATCAAGTGCATGGTAGCCTCCCTCATCCTGCTGCAATTCCTGGTCCCCTGCCCGTCACTGCTGGCATTTCTCTTATACCCTTTCTTAAGGCCGTGCCTTGTATCATGGTCCCCTGCCTGGCACAGCTGGCTCTGCTGCAACAATTCCTTGTCCCCTGTCTAGGCTGGTACCATGCATGGAACACTCTCCAAAGCCGGCACCTCGTTGGTGCCTTGCCTGTTGGATTCCTAGGCTTCTGGCTGAACAGCAGTCAATGGTGATCTGGGTGATGCTGGTTTATATTGTTACGAGGCCGTAGACGAGTACCTTTTGATGTGTTGTATGCATACTTGCAAGCGGACGCCGTCCGCGTGGTTCTGCACGTGCTGCGGACCGCCGGACCGCCGGACCGGACCCGCGTGGTGAATGAATGNCCCTGCACTCTATCCAAGAGGTCGTCGATGCAGGGTAGGGGCTCCGCGTTCTTAACGGTGATGGCATTGAGGCCCCTATAGTCAATGCACATCCTCAAGGTACGTCCCTTCTTCGGTACGAATATGACTGAAGCGCTGTAAGGGGAGGTACTAGGCCGAATCCATCCCTTCTCTTTGAGTTCCTTGAGCTGGCGGCGGAGCTGATCGAACTCCGCAGAAGATATCCTATAAATTTGTCCTCTAAGCACCTTACTATCTGGGACAACCTCTATTGCATGGACAACCTCCCTTTCTACCATGCCTGTGGGCCTATAAAAAAGGTCTGAATACTGAGCGACGACTGATTCTATCTCTGGGGGTGTTTTTATGACCGCCCATTTCTCAGAGACAAATACTAGATACATGCCCTCCTCGTGATTCTGCTTATAATAGTTATAAAAAAATGATGCACACATGCACCCGTAGTTTTCTATCAGACTGCTAGCTTTAAACTTTTGCAATCTAACAAATCTACCGTTGGGCAATTTGTGAATCCACACCTTTCTATCCCAGTCAAATTACGGTTGCGCGACCTCGAGGTAGTACATATCTAGGAGCATGTCAAAGGGCAGTTCGACGCTAACCAGGAAGGAGATTTTATGGCTCACTTCCCCTCCTCCATAGGAAAAGGTACAGACTACATCCTTCACATAGTCGTTTACCAACATTTGGTGCTTGTTGGCCAACGTAGAAGCTACAATTCCGCTAAGCCGTTGCACTTGGTCCCCTAAGCGCAATCTATCCACACAAGCACGAATGATGAAGTTCCGTGTAGAGCCTATGTCTACGAAGGCGCCAACTTTGCGGCCACCAACATTAACCTCTACCACGAAATGTTCAACCTTAGGACCTCTACCTGTCTCTTATACACATCTAGATGTGTATAAGAGACAGGTAATGAATGTGTGCCCGACGACCAGTTCCCCCCCCCCCCCAAAAAAAAAAAAAAAACGGCCCCGTCCGATCCGGTCCGGGGGAAGGGTGCCGCACACGGGAAAGCGGACCGGACCGGACGCTCGTCCGGTCCGTCCGCTTGCAAGTATGGTTGTATGTCCTGCGCTTTGCCGGTTGGCTTGTTGAGTACTCTGCTACCAAGCTTTCCTATAATTCGTGTGACTGTAGGTAATCTTTGTTCTTCATTGCCGTGCTACCCTTGTGGCCACGGCCAATGCTGTCACACATCAGTCCTTTTGTGATGAATGTGTCAGTCTTTCTGTTTTCCTGATTAGGAACTGTCATGGTGTCAGTGTCCCCGCCCTGACCTGAGTTCAAACTCTGAGAAATGTCTTTGTTTTCTGGTCGCTGTTGTTTTGTGCTGTATTTGCGTATCCGGGGGATGGACCAGGTGTCATCGTTGTCCCGTTCGGGTCGACCACCCCTTGTTCCACCGGATCCGTTGGTTGGCATCAACCCGCTCATTATGCCAGGAACGGCAAAGGAAGCAGCTCTCCTCACAGAGCTGATGGCGTCCTGTGTCGCCACATTGCTCATGGTTCAGGTACATTTCTGCTATACCGCTTATTAGTCACCCCATGAACCCCCGCCACATGCCCGAAATGATAGTCACACTTTTCTTCATCCACTCTCTCTTCGCATCCCCTTTCCCGTCCTTTCCCCCGCCCTTTGAGCACCATTCTCTAAAAGAAAGGTCAATTTCCAAGATTATACACAATCACCATAGTCCACATTGAGTACAATGCTTTCAAAGAACAGGTGTGGAAGCAAGAGGTCTACCATCATGGCTAGCATGTGATGCCAATTGTGTCACTGCTTTGCACTCCAAAGCTGGATGTTAGCGGTTTTTTGTTGGGTTGCATTGGGTTGGGTTGGGTTGGGTTGGGTTGGGTTGGGTTGGGCTGGGTTGGGTTGGGTTGGGTTGGGACAACTTAGGACATGCTACCCAGAAAATAGTTTTGCCGTCAATATGGAGAACTGCCTTGTGTGGCAATATGCTGCTTTTCTCATCCACATCGGAACGTTTGCTTGCAGTTAGAATAATTGTGTAAAATACTAAAATTGTAAATAGGACAAACTTGGCACAAATTGAATGATAAATAGTAAATATTTACACCGCTACCGTCTTCGCCTGAATAGAACGGCCGGTAATTGTCGCCGCCGTACCTAGAGTGAAAGTCGCACCAAATACAGCTGTAATGACCGGGGCGTTCTTTTCGGGTGAAGACGGTAGTACTTTTGACGTTTGCCTTGCCGCGCCGGGAAACACCCTCTGCTCGCCAATAAAAAACGGAACTGGTGTGGACCTCCTTTTTGGTTGTTGCCATCCATTTCACTGTGGTCGGCGGACGCCCAAAACGTGCGGCGCAAGCAAGGTTGCATCGGAGAAAAATGGCTGTTGTCATAATGACCAAATTCTGTGAATGCATCAGGAGGATTCGTTTAGCTGTATGGTACTGTTCTACGTGCTGAGCTATGGGTCACCAGAATTTCGAAGCCCATATGACGAATCGGAGGGAACAAGTGTTAGCACGTGAGAGAGAGGGTTTGTTTTGCTGAATTATGGTTCTGTTTTGAGTGCTGAGCAATGGGATTAAAGTTCATTAAACTGCACAGCCTTGAAGTTCAGATTGCGCACGGGAGGTGACAAGTGTGAACGCACAAGAAGGATTTTTTTAAGCTGAATGGTACAGTTCTAAGTGCCGAGCCAGGGGTTTAAAGTTTAAACTTTAAACTGTGCAACGTCGAGTTCAGCCAGCGAATAGGGGAAGGATTTCTTTGGCTGACTGATGCTGCAAGGATTGAACCCATGATCCCCAGTAATAAAACAGGTGGCCCCTAGTATTGTTGTGTCCAGCAAGGATTGAGCTCGTGACCTGATAGTTATCGATTCTAGTTATGTACCATTCAGCTATTGTTTCCAGGCAGGTACTCGTGAGCCTAATCTTGAGATCTACCGATTTGTTAATTTCTATGGGCCTCACTCCACTGCTCTCGAAAAGTGCGAAACGAGAGAGGGAATCTCCCGCTAGAACATGGAAAGATACACTGCCATGATTTTTGTCTTTTGTGCATATCGAGAGTAGTGGAGCGTGGCCCTAGATCTTGACGAGCATAATCTTTTCCAGGTGTCTTGGTCTTGACCACTGTTGTGTCTTTTCTTTTTTTTTTTAAGAAAAAGAAGTATCATCTTGGGTGTACCAACTGTGCCAGGCTCATTGGCTGACCAACAATGTTTTGTGTTTTGCTGGATGAACAGAATTGTACAGAGAGATCACTGCCACACTCCGATGTGGTTCTCACGCTCGACTCGGCGTTGTCGTCGCTTCGCCCGCATGACAGCTCGAACAGTTCCGTATTCAAAGAAATTGAGCGGTCGATCGCCACTATCAAGTCGCAGATTGTCGCAGAAGTGCCTGCCACGCATGTACCTTGACGAGGGAAGGGAAATCCCTTCGATTGCTGCCGCCGTTTGGCAGGTTCACAAGGAAGGTAGAGGAACAAATAATACTCTACCGACGATATCCTCCTCCTCCTCTCAAACCTTAGAAAGTTTGAACCCATCGAGAGATTTCTTCCATGTGGCGCTGCGCAACACAATGCTTATTGGAATCCATGGGGAGCACAATTTGACAATTTGACACTCACTTTGTGAGTTCTTCTCTCCTGGCAGGCTGGCACTCATTTCCTGAAGATTGGCACCGACCACTTTCGCAAAGTTCTTACTACTGCTTCTTTCTTCTCTTTTTTATAGCCAGGTGTTCTGTAAACACCCGAATTCATGTCAACACGCCACGTGTCCATCCCACGGAATGCATGCGTGATCAACCGAAGCAACACTTCCATGTGACATGAGAACTGTCGGTTCCTCATGTGGAAGCTATATTCCCTGTTAATGGGATGTGCAAATTTATACTACAGGCTACAGCTTCTCCCGGAGTCTTCCTTTCGTACGTCTCAGACGACATTGTCCGGCGGGGCCAAAAAACACTTGCGGAGTTTGCGGTCTGCCTGGAGGGTGGTTGCATGGGACTGAAGACAAAGCAGTGAGTGCATCTGGAGAGCGAGAAAACAGTAGCTTTGCAGTGCCTGCATTGGACCGGGAGAGTCGTGAGATAGTTTTGTGACGCCTGCGTGCGTTGGATCTGCAACGTACAAAGATAGCTTTTGTGGCGCGTGCATCAGATCTGCGGAGTTAGAGCGTATCCGTTACTGCTACTGCGTTGCCGGCACCTGCATTGGAGATTATTATCATCCAATAAATGCAACAAGAAGTAAAGAACGGCGCAAATGCGCATATCAACGCATCGTGCCTGTTCTGCCCATCGCAGTTGAGGATAGTCAGAGCAAAATGGGAAGCAGCAGAGGGACCAAGGAGTCGAGAAGGAAAGACGCATCTCTCTCTCGCTCCCTTTCCCTCTCTTCCCCCCCTCTCTCTCGCTCCCTCTCTTTCTCTCTCTCCGTGAGAGTGTGTGCTGACAGGGTTCGTTGGTTGACGAGGGACGAGTGGTAGGTAGGGCAGACAAGGCGATGAGGTGGAAGAGAGCATGAAGAGAGTTTTGAGGACAGGTGGAGGACTTGAGGAAAAGACGCATCTCTCTCTCGCTCCATTTCCCTCTCTCCCCCCCCTCTCTCTCTCTCTCCCTCTCTTTCTCTCTCTCCGTGAGAGTGTGTGCTGACAGGGTTCGTTGGTTGACGAGGGAGGAGTGGTAGGTAGGGGAGACAAGGGGAGGAGGTGGAAGAGAGCATGAAGAGAGTTTTGAGGACAGGTGGAGGACTTGAGGGAAACTGATTCTGGTGTGCTCCCGACCGACGGTGGGATTAAGGGACGGCAGGGAGCGGAACGCGAAGCTGAAGAGAGTTCAGGGGAGATGGTAAGAAAGGAGAAAAGGCGGGAAACCTGGAAACAGAGTGGGATGATGTGTGACTCACAATGCGAAGGTGAATTTGCTGCAGGGTGCCACACTGCCAGATCATCAGAGGAATATACCGTGCGAACGAGGTGTCATAGGTCCCTGTGAAGCTGGTCGTCTCGACGAAGCCTTCTGTTCCTGGGAGGTTTCTCTGCAGTCGCTGATGTCATGTCTATGAGGTGTGTGTTTCGGACCACCCTGTGACATCCCTCGCTACTATCCCGTCTCCCACGTCTCTTGCCTACATTGACACCTGTGCAATGGGGCTAGCGACTCGAAAAACCCCGTGAAAAATGTATCTAGCTTTAAAGTTTAAACAGGTTTTTTTTAATGCACAATTTGTATAGATTTATAGATTTTGAAATTCCTGTAGAGTGAAAAATTAACATCCAGTTAGAAGAAGTCGAAATTTGAAAATTGAAATTGTCTGCCGCCTTCGCTGCTTTGCACATGATGTCCACTGTGTTTTTTAACTTTTAACTTTTTTTGTTATTTCATTCTATTCATCCTAGCGTCACATCGCTTCCATTTACCATATTCACCGTATTCTGGTGTTCGTTGGAGATTTCACAGCATTCTGTGCGAACTCTTTTGGCCTGTTGAAGCTCAACGATCTTTTTCACTCGTGTGAGTGGATGTTTTCTTTCAAGTATGTACAGGTGCAAGTGGCCTCGGGTTCTTGGCTCGTCTTCAGATTGGAATGCGGCTCGCTTTTCCGATTGAAAAAAAATACGTTTCATCGAGTTTAGCAGCTGTTTTGGATGAAGTCCATTACGAGCTGGAGTTTGGCACTGGTATCCTTTTTTGAAGTTTTTCATTTCCTCCGTGTCCCCTCTCCATCTCTCCCCCATCGCCTCCCCCTTCCCCTTCGGTCTTCATTTCCTTCTGCCTGCCGCCCCCCTTTTCCCCTCTTTGCTTCTCTCGGTGTCCTTTTTTTATCCTCACCACTACTTTCTTATCGCTATCCGCAGCCCTCGATCAGCAATTCTCTCCCCATATCCTTGCCTTTTTTTTCTTCTGATTTTTAAAACAAGTAGCCGGGCGACACTTGCTGGAAACCAGTCCCAGCGTCCCAGAAATGTCCTTGTGGTCATGTCCCCCTCACGTCAGCTTTAATCAACTTCGTAGTGCTCCGCGTCTCCGATTATATATGTGGCTACGTGCTATTTGCGAAGCTTGGTGGATGCTTCTTTGCCAAGCTTGGTTCCGTACTGCCATGGCTATCGTGGCTATGTGATCCCCTTGGCGTAGTGACCTTCTCATCGTGCTATCCTTCGCGTTGGCTACTGCTGTTCTGCGCATTGTTGTGGAAGCTTGAGGGCTTATCGGCTAGCCAAGCATGCGCCACCAGATCTGGTGTCTGTGACCCTTGTGGACTGTGTGCTAAGTTATTGTTGCCTGCGGTTGCAGCAGTTTGGCATCGGCGGCATTCCTTGCCTATCAGTGGATGGACACCCATGCAGATGAAGTGTGTGCACTGCTATGTTCACCTGAATACAACGTACTGTCATGACTGCTGTATCTGGACTCGAAGTTGCCCCAAATACCGCAATAATTATTGGGCGTTCGATTCAGGCGAAGACGGTAGTTGCTGAAAAGCCTTGGAATTAAAGAGATCAGGAAGAACACTCAGCAACACCTGTGGGCCTATCTCAGTGGGAACACGCAGCAACACCAGCAGCCCTATCTCAGTGGGTAACCTCCCCACAAACTAACTGTTGAAATACAGACCTGAGTTCGAATCTAGATGGAACTGGATGTGAACGGAATTCCTGAATTACCTGGGCCCCGGTCTGTTTCACGACGATATATCACTGTCGTCGGCCTATTCGAAAGGATGCCCACAAGAGGAATCGACAAGAGGGGGGCTCTTCAACCCAGCAGCTGGGCGCCTGGCCAACCTGACGACAGAGTCCCCTTCCTCCGTTTTCAGATGATCCAGCAAACCAGCGAGGGAATCTGAACATTCCAGGATGCAGCAAACCAGCGAATCTTCAGTCCTGCGGCTGGGCGCCTGACCAGCCTGGCTACCTAGTCCCCTTCCTCCGTTTCCAGAGGCAGCAAACAAGGAAGTCTATGAATACAAAAGCCTATGGAAGTCTATGGAAGTAATGCGTGACAATCTGATCTTTTTCATAGGTCACATTGGAAAGCACGCTGGACCCGGTTTCCAGCAGGTGTTGCTCCCCACCAATAGATGGAGCTGTTTCGTTTAAAAAAAAAAAAAAAAAAAAAAAAAAAAGGAAGGAAAGCTCTCCTTTCGCTCATCAAAGAAGAAGTCTATGAATACAAAAGGGAGTTGGTATACCGCTGGCAGATTCGAGACATGGAGGATGGGTTTATGTGGAAAGGTCGAAAAAGGGTGACCCACCAAAGCCTTAGGTTGGACATGGGAGAGGGAGGGAGAACCAAACTGGGATACCAAACCACAGGCCAACTGGATTCCTCCGGAAACAACTGCTGAACCTGCGCACCAACCTGCAACGAATAAGGGAGCATTAGTCGAAGAGAGCAATTTTGCACTATCTGCAGGCAATTTGGGGGTCCCAGGAGGAACAATTCAGGCTGCCATACAACAGACAGGCAGTGGATCTGGTTCAGGTAATGCCCAAATAAAGAGACCAACCACAACCACAAAAAAAGGCGAAGAATAGCCAAAGTTCTGGGCAGGGTCTAGAAATCGCAACTGATAACAGAAAAATGGGTACTAGTTGTCCAAGAAGCACACCTGTGAGAACCGAAACCAGGCAGATGACCTGGCAAATTCAGAATCTGAAAAAGAGGAAGAAAAAAAAAGAAACACAATTGAAATCTGCAGAGGATGACACCTTGAAAAGAAAAGAAAAAAATTAAAGAAAAACTTGAGGGCAGGACACTCACTAAGAGGTTAAAAAAAATAAAAATAAAAACTCGCTAAGAGGCTGAAGGTACGCCATCGGGGGAGGCTGTGGAGGCCAAATTTAAAGAAAGAAAAAACAATCGACAGCAAAAGGAAGAGGAAAACATGGCAGATTCAGATTCTTTTCATGCTGCTTTTGGAACAGCGGCAACAGCCCCAATGGATGTTGATCCCACTCCTCAATAAGATTTTCAGATGGAGAGGACACAAGTACCTCTCATCAACTTGAAGATGCATCATATCATTTTCTGAATAAATACCAGACAGTCGCTCAATGGGCAGAATGGTTATTGAAGAATTTGAGAGCCAAATAAGGAGAAGGAGAAGGAGAAGGAAGTGAAGAATTCTGAGACACTTCATATGTAACAGTTGAGTTGCTAACGATGTTCAGCCCAAGCCTTAAAAAAAAAGGTGTTATCGCAAGGCTTGCCAGGAGTTCAGTGGACTATAAATAGTCAGAGAATCCTGGCCATCAACCATGTTGCAGAACTTTCAATCTCCCCAACAGCGGAAAAGGATTCTGACTGTTCAGCTACCGTCTTCACGCGAATAGAACGCCCGGTCGTTCTAGCAGTATTTGGCACAACTTTCAGCCCAGGTATGACGATAATTACCGGCCATTCTTTGGGTGAAGACGGTAGCACAAGCATAAAAGGATTCTAACTGTACAGCTACCGTCTTCAAACCAAATAGAATGCCCGGTCGTTATAGCTGTATTTGGCAAAACTTTCAGCCCAGGTGCGGCGATAATTACGGGCCGTTCTATTCGGGTGAAGACGGTCGCACAAGCATAAAAGGATTCTAACTGTACAGCTACCATCTTCACCCGAATAGAACACGCGGCCGTTATAGCGGTATTTGGCACGACTTTCAGCCCAGGTACGGCGATAACGACCGGCCGTTCTAGTTGGGTGAAGACGGTAGCACAAGCATAAAAGGATTCTAACTGTTCAGCTACCGTCTTCACCCGAATAGAACGCCCGGTCTTCATAGCTGTATTTGGCACAACTTTCAGCCCAGGTACGACGATAATTATCGGCCGTTCTATTTCGGTGAAGACGGTAGCACAAGCATGGTGGTATCTATGCCAAAGGAACAAGACAATACAGAGGGAAAGGATGATAAACAAGGGGGAGCACAAAAAAACTGAAAAAGAGGAAGATAGGAATGTCATTGAGATTACTGACGAAAAAAGAGAGGACGGAGATCTGATTTCACAAGGCATCTCTACCCTACAGAACCAAAGTGGGGAACAATCAAATGCCATTGGGGGAGAGGAAAGGAAATCAAAAGAAGTAAACCCCCAGCAATCTGCAAGTGGTAATAATCAGGTTGAAAGAGAAAAGGAAGGACTCATTGACAATGCGCAATATCTTCAACCCAAAAGTCAAATGAAAGATCGGAAACAAAGGAAAACTGATGAAAGTTCATGAAACGCAGACAGAAGTTAGAAAAGGGTCGTGCAACAAAGCTCCAAATTGAATCACAAAAGGGTAATTTATTCTTGTCAGGAAGAAAGAGGGAAGGTGAGAAGTTGGTCTGTCCCTAATGGGACGATGAGATGGGAGTGTGGCATTGAGAGGATGGTCGACTTACTATGTTGATTATCAACCGACAGGAGAGGAAACCTTCAAAAAGGATCTTCATGACTTTCTTTCAAAGCACTACGACCAGGACCGCAAACAACTCTAACGAAATAAGGAGAGCAGGCCAAAATGACGAGGCGAGACTCTTTTGTCAAATTTGAGGACAACAAGGAAACATGTCTTCATTGGTACTCACACACCTCTCCGCTTTGCTGGAGCTTCTGCAGATCAAAGTCAAAGTCAAAGAAAGTCAAAGTCAATGTGGTCGGATCGACCTTCGAAGTATCTTCTTTCGTGAGTTCTATTTTGCGCAAGGGTGTTCTCATCTCCACCTCCTCATCTTTGGAGGGAGGAAAATGGTCCAGGTTCTAGATTGATAGGTAATAGCCTAATAGCCTAGTAATAGGTATATGTTTTTGGAATGGATGCACTACAGATATTTTATGAGAAAAAAACAATGTGGCAGAGAGTGACTAAAGAAGCAAATTTATGATAGGTATAATTTTTTGGAATGGATTCAATGGATGCAGTATAGCCGTTTTATTTATGGGGAAAACCCAATGTGGTAGGGAGTGACTAAAGAAGCAGTTCTTGTTGTGGATGGGTTAGCTACGGATGACACAAACAAAAGAAGAGCAATAACTGAACAATTGAAAGGAGTTGGTGGACGCAATTGGCCGGACCTAATTTGCATCACTCTCTCAATGTGAATGGGCCAGCTACGACTGATGCACACAAAAGGAGAGCAGTAATTAAACAATTGAAAAAAGTGCATTGTGGGTTCTCTCTGAATCCAGATTAGAGATCGTGCATTGGGAGGCAGATAAGGAAAATGGACGATGGATCTGGGCAATATTGATGTTAGAAATATAACTTATAGGTTCAAAAACATTTATGTTCCTAATG